TCAGATTTTTGCGGTTAGTAATGGGAAAGAGCCAGATCGCATATGCTTTCGCAACACGGGAAGTAAATATTGCATACTTTTTTGGGCCTTGTCGAACTCTGGCTTCACCTCCTCTGGCTCACGTCTTGTTAGCTGACGAGAAAGCCGCTCAACTTCTTCTTTAACAGCATCTGCGGAATAGCCGAAAAAAGTAGATACTATGCTGCGCGGTGGTTTTTTCAATATCATAGGTCATATTGTCACAAGGCGAGATACTTCCAGCAGCATAAAGCACAGAGTTAAGATCGTACTCCAGTCGGGATCTAAGAGCAGTAGCTATGCTTTGTACTAACACCTTCCTTTTGTTCATAACCATGTTCGTGAATTTAGCAGCCTTGAATTCTTCAGCAACCTGAAGATCAGCAATGAACTTCTTGGACATTTCCTCATTGAGACTAGGCAATCTGCTTGAATTTCTGATGTACGAAATAGAGAGTTTCGCTCAAATGTCAACTCTGTATCAATGTCGACAACATATTCGTCGGCGTAAGATTCTCCTTCTGCCTCGCTGTTGAACTGGAACACATGCGAGTCATCTGCGATTTTGTAAAATATTCTGCTTGCCGCTTCTTCTTCAAACTGCCAACCTTTCCAAAACGAAGGATATTTTAATAACATGTTGTTCTTCTGAATGCCTCAAAGTTTTTGATTTATTGAAACCAACCATTCCCTACAATTAGGTAAGTCTAGAGCGTTTTCACGAACGTGAAACCTTCTTCAGCACTAGTTTTAAAGAGTATACATTCCAGAAATGGGCGGGTTTTTTGAAGGTGTGGAAATTCACCAATCTCCCATAGTTTTTTTGAGTATGTGCTGATAATGATGGCACATCTGTCAATCAAAAGCGCATTTTTTACTAAAAAAAACACAAACATATAACAACTATAAGCACGCTTAAATAGACGCGATCGCTCGCGTTCCCGTTAGTGCTGATAACGATGTCAATCCATAGCACATTTTTTACTATTAGCTTGCTCCACTCAGCTCCGCCAATGTATTGGCTTTTATCGGTTACCGGAGCAAATGATTTTTAGAGCCGGGAAGCAAAGAAGCTCCAACATGCTGTATACCATTCGAAAGCTGAGATCATGGAGAATCGAGGTTGACCGTCGACTTTTTTCTAGGTCTTCTGTGCCGCGAGATATGATGGATTTTATGTACTCCAAAAACCAACTGCTTTTTTGTCCTCACTTTCTGCTTTCCAAATGAATGCTATGAGGATAAATAAATAATATAAATAGACATAAGTACCGTTTCTTTTGTAAATTTATGATTGTACTTGTTGTTTGAGGTACTTAGGCTGCAAAACCTTCTAATAACGATTTTTATCATATTCTCAGAGTACAACACCAATCTCAGCCCAGGTGAAGGGGGTCATTGGGAGTTTGGCCTCAAAGTGAAGGGGGTAAGATCCATCACTCCCCCTATCGCAACTATGGATAGAGCATTGCGGATGCGGTTTGCCTTTTACCGTAGGAGGCGCAGGGACGCGCATGCAGGCTCTTTTGCAAGCTTGCTTCGAATCCTTTTTCGCGCGTTTCTTTTCCGCCGTTTGTGTTGTTCCTCCTTTTTTGGGCTTCTACCTCGCTCCTTACTCTTCTCTTATTTTCAGGTAAAACATTGCCTCTTGAGCTGAAAGGTTTTGTGCGTGATGCCTGTGTCTCCTAGCCCTCACGTACCATCTCCAATGTCTTCTACTACGTCGCTCATCGCGAGCATCAACAGCTAAGAGAAACCACTCAGCTCAAAAACGTATCACTGAGAAGGTTAATCTTCTAATAATCAAAAGTGAATCAACATACTTTATCGAATGATGCCTCTTAATTTATTCAGAAATGGTTTACTTTTGGGACAACCCTGCAATATATGGACTCTCGACCAAAGGCAGCGTCCAGGCAAACCTGGACAAATGCGGATCGCGCTGGAAACTGTTTTTGGGACCTTGCTAAGGAACTCTTCAAGCGACAGCGCAAATGGCCCATTCGCGCTTGAGATATTCGTTCCCAGCCGACCCCGTTACAGTATCTAGCGGAACACTTGCATCTCATCGCCCTTATTATAATATCTCCGCGCAAAACCCTGCAAGGATGCAAATCGTCTGCTGGATACGGTACAGGGAACAAGTGCCTAAACGCTGCCTTCATTTATGAGAGCTATAGCACTATTATATACTTAGAAACCAGTTGAAATATGCCCAACAAGCAAACTCCTCACTTGCAGCTGCAGATTCACTCTAAATTTGAATGATAAAATCTAAATAAGTGAATGGTCCAGATGCCGACAAAATTAGCTTCACGAGTAAGTTCAGATGAGGTCAACGCCAACTGCGAAATCTGTTCCTACTTCCTCCACTTACATGATATGTTGTTCATTACATTCATTACATTGCGCAGTTCGCGGAAACATGGTGCTGAAATATTCGGCAACATTCATTGATTGCGAAGCAAGCCGTATCATAGTGAGTTGATTTTCAGCTTTTTCCGAAAACGTTGGTCAGCTAGACTAGAATAGCTCCTTAACGGAGACCAGCCTTTTCGGAAAAAGCTGAAAATCAACTCACCATAATACTGGGGTGCTTGAAATCATTAACAAAATAATCTATGCCTTGCGAAAACGTGCTTAAAATGAAGTATGTGATATGCTCTTACAAGGAACCGATACTTGGTGACCCCCGCCATGTGGAATGCGATGTATACCATAAAGTGCATCTCAAAACGCTGATTCTAAATCTGTGCTCGAAATCTGCGAAACGATCATTTGAAGGCAATTATGAACCTTTTTTCGTAGAAAATTTGCGTACTTTTAGGTAGTTAAAATCACCCAATTTAATCTATTTTACCGTTTGAAGCTATCGAGGAGAATCTTGAAAGGCGTAGCGTTGTATTCATACCTATCTAAACAATATTCAGCATTAGAAGAGGAAAGAAAAATTTTCATTAATGATTTTCACCCTTCGCCGTAGCGCAATGCATTTTTGAAAGAATAATCATGACTCAATCCAGGTTCTCGTTTCGCAGATATGAAAAAAAGTACCCGAACCAGCATTAAAAGGCGCATTTTTTGATGTACAAATTATTATGAATGGCCGGGGTAACCAAGTATCGTTCCCTGCTTAGCAAAGAGATTATGACTGAGCAATTCAGCCCTGAATTTATGCTCACTACGTATTCGAGACTCTAATCGGTCCGCATGCAAAGAGGATTGTCGGGCATGAGTTCAAAAACAATGTTAAGCAGTGGTTAAATCTTGCAAACACTTTCAAATTCATGTTTTACTAACGCACTAGGCGTGTTTCTGAATCTTGAGGCTCTTTTTGAGGAGTAGGTTACTAATTCAGTCGACAATTTCAGACTCTGAAGAAGGCGATATAGCCGAAACGAAAGAAAAGATACCAACCCCGGTCTACAGCTCAGCAAGCCACAAGCAGCAGCCTCAGCAAACAAGCAACTTCACTATGCCGGAATTGAGCGACAGTCGGATCTGGACAATCGTTTTAGAGTTTTGCTTATGGCGGATTATTCAGTGTGCTATTCATCGCACTCATTAAACAACCTACTGTAAGCAAAAATCGTAGACAATCGTGGGATTTGGCCTCCTACTGTGTTCAAGGGGGCCGTTCTATATATATCAGAAAATGCATCGCGTCGACTTGGGCCGAAGGTGCCCTTGGATTGAAAATTCGTCCACTCTGAAGCGAGCGGCCACGCTGCGGTGATGTCACATGAATTGGGTGATTGTGCGTCGTTTTTTCAAAGATACGAGCGGTACTGCAATGAACAGACCTGATCTTTTTGACAAAATGAGGCGCTTGCACTCAGTACCATAACTCTGCAAAAAAGACGGTCACCTGAATTGGGTGGTGTAGCCATATTTGGCTTTAGAGTGACGTGATCTGCACCCGATGACCATTCCATTCAGCATGACGAAGCGTCTCCTCTGATGCATAGAGATTATATGTTAAGTTAGGTCACGGTAGGCAACCACATTTCACAAAACTTTTCAAATTGTCATTTACGGTAGGTGCTCAGGATGCTTAATCACTAAGCACCGATTGATTTACCGTAAGCGAAAACTGTATTCATGAGAGCTAGTTTTCTACCGTGCGCATATCGTATTCTAACAGGTGCTTTTGTATGAAAAAAGATGCGCCTCGTCGAGTTGAATCGACCCTCGGCAAATTTTCGTCCGCACTGAAGAGAGATACGGCCACGCTACGGTAATACCACATAACTCAGGTGACCGTCGCGTCTTTTAGAAATTATGAGCGGTATTGTGTTGAAGACAAATTACTTCGCACATAATAGATATACACCTCGAGTAAAGAAAACAAGGGGGTACTACCTTAAGTATATGCTAATTCGCAACCGAGATTCGATTTTGAATTCTCGTACCGTCCTAATTTTTCGAGCGGAACAAAGGTATGTGGTAAATATAGAACATAAAACTAATTTCTTGCCACGAATGAATCGTATGATCTGCTGCTTAGGCGATATTTGCTTAGAACTTCCTATTCTGTTCCACGTAAAGGTACACAAATTTTCTTCGAACCGCCTTCAAATAAGGAAGCATAGCTATTAAGCTTAATCTCTCTGATTTCCCAGCTAAGTAGTTTCTCAACAACATCTTCTTCTATCTCGAGGAGTACTAGAAGCTCAGTGTTTTGTGTAGTAAAGTAATGATAAATTAATGGGTACGCTGAAAAAAAACATATCGTACAAAATTACTACAACAAGCAATGTATTGGAATGATTTATTCTCTACTGCAATAAGAACAACAACACTAAACCAAGCAATTCAAAGCACTTGAAGATCGGAGGAGACTACGAAAACAAAGAAAGCAAATAAAAATGCAAATAAAATGATCTCATGAAAAAAGGTTCTATTCAGAAATTCATCTCATATCGTGAGCTTCTATACAATTTCGCTTATGTGGGTTTTTCAAATGACGAACAAGGATATCGTTATATTTTGTCCAATAGCGTCATCTCTTGAGGTTTCGGTAACTCTACGGTAAGTATTGTAATTACGACTTCGTAACTCGTCTTGGAGGGTTCTTCAGCATGCAGATTATGACCTGTACGGTTGGCTATGATACCGTAGTCGTGATCAGTATGTTGAGGGACCAATTTTCCCGAGTATGGGGCGAATTTTCTTACCAACGTGACATAATCGTAATATTTATCAGGATAGATCTAAAGCGTAAAAGTGCCCATTCTTGATTGAGCAAAATTTGAATGAAATCTACGAGTTTTTTTAGTCAAGTATCAGCTACTCTGGAATAATGATTAGATCTGCGTGGAGTTACTAAACACACTGCGGATCTCGGAATGTGTACTGGTTTGTAATTGTAGGGACCCAACCATTGCACGCTCAGGCAGGGCTTCAAAACCTGTAATCAGAAAACATTATTGTCTTAGCACAGATATATTCTACCTCTATCACGCCCCCTTCCATAAAACGCATGTGATGCCTTAAATGTTCCCAACAATCAAAATCTATCTTTATTTTCCTCGTCCGCGAATGTTCATTTAGTTTCTCTCCGCATTCAAAGCAATCCATCGATTTACGAAGCAAGGACCTTACAAAAGAAAGTCATCTAGGTACTCTGTGACTCAACTGGCTTGGCGACTGGAAGGCGGGCTGTATGACCTATTTAAGATTAGGAGTAATGATCAGAGAGCACGCGCGGGAGAGACGCAGATGCGTCGCGGACACGAGCGGCCTAGATAGGTCACAAAGTCCCGCCTCTCAGACGCCAAGCCAGCTGCAAAGGTTAGACAGAGGGAAGCCTTTTCCGATATTTATTGATATGTGCAACGGTAATGAAGGCTAAGCACTCAGATATAAGTGAGACTTACATGGCAAAAAACTTCCAATACGATTCGATGGCGTTCTCCTTCCATTTCACAACATCACCAACAGCAAAACCATCGGGCAAGCACATTAAGACGAGATCATTCAGTTTATAGAACTAAATTCATATCTTCAAAAGCATTTTCTTTTATAGGCTCATACCTCAGCTTCTCTTCGAAGAGCTTCACGAGCATTTTCATCAGAAGGAGGAAAGAAATGATCTTTATCTCTTAGATAATCTAATATCTAAAAAAGAGATCAGCTCAAACTAAGCCCACATTGTTGTATTGCTTACTTTTTCGAAAAGAATCGGGTTTCTATCCACAAACAGCTGCTGGTCCTCTTGCCAGCGTTGGGCTACCATAATGGAGAGCATCTTCAAATATTAGCAAGACACTGATGAGGATAAAAGAAACTACAGTATAACTCACACTGTCCTTTACTCCTGTGAGAGTAGAGAGATTTGTTTCAAAAATTCTTCCACCAACATTAATTCTCACACCACCATGTGCCATGTGTAGAAAACCAACAGTATTTGCCTAAAAAGTTTTTTTTGGTTCCAGCATTCTTGAACTAATAAAAGGCATGATAAGAGGAGGCACTGTAGAGAAAGCTAACATTAGACTGGCCATGTCGTTTATAGATCGCTGTTCCCATCGCAACAGTATGTTTCTATGCATTCCTTCGGTCATTGGAATCAGCACTCTCAAAGCTTCACACACCTTCAGTGAAATGTTCAACCGTGTCGCTGAAAATCTCGCCTAGCTGAAGATACAAAGATAAAATGCTCCTTTTCTGCTTAGTAGTTGAGAACACTTGCATGTGAGCCAGGGGACGCAGAACTTGGAAAAGGCCATCTTTCACGACAAAGTATCTGCATCAAGAGAGCATTTCTCCACGCGCAAGTGTTGTCAGCACCGCAGGAGCACTGTGTGGCTAAATCGGCTAGTCTATAACTCGCTCCAACAGTCTTTTTTGGTGCACCATTAAGCTAAATCTTGTATTAGCAAAAGGTCACAACTTGTCTTTCTGATTTCCGAGCAACATCTACCTAGCCAAAACCTCTATTAAATCCCCGAAAGGTCTTTCTCTTTATGATTGTAAGCTAAACAAGAGGAACATAAGCACACAGTGGCGGACAAATTTTCTTCAGGGAGGCTGTGCGGTAGGGTAATTCGAAAATTTTTCGTCGAATGAATGAATATCGAATAAATTCGAAAACGAAAAATTTCGAATAAACGAATATCGAAGAAATTCGAAAATAAAAAATCTCTAATAAACGAATACCGAATAAATTTGAGGTTCAAAAATTCTCGAATGAATGAATTCCGAATAAGTGCGGAAAATCATATCGAATGAATGAATATCGAATATATTCGAACATTGGAAGTCGAATTTCGAATAAATATTCGAATGATTCATCGAATAACTAGAGCAACCATATCTCAAACTTGCCGACATATCTGGCTAAAGCCGATCCATGCATAATCAGCACCCATGTATCCCCTATACCCAGGGCCCGGCACCGATGGTTTTGGGTCAAACTGGACTTCGTTTTTGGAGTTAGAAGCAACGGGGACATCGTTTTTATGAGGTCCTGGTCCTGCCAAAAAACACGACCATGTCAGGTTTCACGAGTTGAACGTGTTCTTTCGCAAGCGCGCGAATTTCAAATGCAAGAATCAAACAAACAAATGGCTTGTTTACAGCGCACAAACAATCACATGGCTCCGAATTTGGGCTATGAGTATACAATATTACTCCAAACTATGTTATGTAAAGTTCCCAAAACTTATGTGTCCTAATATCCGTTCTCGAATTTGTTGGTTTCTAGACCAACTACCAAACCAACTGGGTTGCTTCGGAGCATAAATATCGGAGAGTTCACATAAGTTTTGCACCTTTTTGATTTGGGCGATTAGAACAATCAAAAATCTATCGTATAGTGAAGAGAGCGGATCAAATCGTTGCCTCTCCCCTTTTTTAGTCAAAAGTAGTATAATTCTACGCGTTGATAGATATCGCGCTCCAATCACTTGCGGTGTCCTTTAAAATATGTGGCGAAAAATGCATCGCAACATTGCAGCGTCAAAATGGTATTAGGTCGTTCCGAAAGTTCTTTCCGTTTTTTCAATCTATCATGAAAACGCGTGGAATGAAGGTAAAGAAACGCTTCAGGCATCATTCAACGCAGCTTTTCTTCCTCTTTTCAATTGTCTTATTTCTGTTCCACTTGCTCTTGCAGTCAGTGAGATAATGGCCGAAATTTCGAACCCATGGTTTTTACTATGTTCAACTTTGGCAATTTATCACAATCTTCTTTTATGACTTTCGGAGGAGCTTTGATATATGTCACTTAGAGTAAACAAAGTGCAATGCAATGCAATTTTTTGGCTTATCCAGCTGACTCTCGGTACTTTTTGAGGTCCACCATTTTTACAAAATAACTGAGTGTTTACCGCTTCGAAATATGAGATTTCGCATTTCACGTGTACACTCTCACGCGGGTTCAAAATCATGAATTATGGAAATTTTGTCGTAAGAAACCCCCACAAATGGGGAAGAAGAATACTCAGTAGAAAAAGAAGGAAAAGCTGCATCGAATGGCACTTTAGTTGTGCGCCGTTTTATGTTCTATGGCTCATGGCATCACCAAAAGTGGAATTTGATAGCATCAGAAAAATAATTCTAAAGAAATTTAAGGCTACTTATAGACGCCGAAAAATTGCATTAAATTGCACTTTGTTTACTCTATCTTACTGTTGTCAAAACTTTTCCAAAAGTTCAAAATAAAGATTGTGAAAAATCGCCAAAGTTGGACATGGTAAAAACCATGGTTTTGAGATTTTGGCCATTATCTCACTGATCACAAGAGCAAGCGGCACAGCAATAAGACAGTCGAAAAGAGGAAGAAAAGCAGCGTCGGATAGTGGCTGAAGCGTTTCCCTATCTTTATTCCTCTTGTTTTTATGATAGGTTGAAAAAACGGAAAGAACTTTTGGAACAACCTAATATTATGCCCAATGGAAGAGCCTTTAATCGACTTGAAATGTTTTCTTTTTGCTTTTTTGTTATATTGCATACCTCAAAATGCGCTTTCTTCGCTTTTTTGTTGCTATTTTGGTTGAATAAGGGTTTCCCTACTGATTTTTACGTCGAGAGGGACTTCGTAAATTTTCACGAAGTCATGGGGGACTTCTTTTCTTAAAAACCTCCAAACCAACGCGTGCCGGGCCCTACCTATACCAACTCCTAGCTCAAAATTTTCCAAAAATCGCTGAAATAAATAAAATAGAATTTGATTTTAACACATTGACGACCGCTTGACACACATGACACACCATGACTTTTATTGAAATGGCTACTAAAATGTGTCAAATCAACTGCGGGAGTTTTCTTTCATGCTGGATTTAGATACAACCTCTACTGTTTTTGCCAGCATTTCAGCGCTACTGTATGTGTACTGTAGATGGAATTGTGCGTGATTTTATTTGAGGAATGTTGAGTGGTCCGAGAAAGGCTTCGGTCGTCAATGTGTTAATCAGCATCCACTCACTCCCCTCCCCGTATCATTCCAACCTCGTAGCTCGAAATTTTCCAGAAATCGATGAAGTTGGTCAGTTGGCAACTACTCTATACATCAGCAAGAAGTCGTATTTTACGCATTATCGGACAATCTAAAAAAGCGGTCGATATAAATTTTGATCAAAACATATTCTAGAAGGACAGAATGCAGGGCATTTATCTTTTTAGTAAGTTGTACACGCTAAACATTTGTGGTAAGCTGGCGTTATATTTGAAGACATCTCGTAACTGGCAAATCGCGTACGGCGATCTAAACCGTCTAATCCTCCACTCAGCTGTAATGTCCTTTACTCAAATTACACCAATTGGCAAAAAATCTCTAAAGTAGCGAATAGAGGCAGTTGCGCAATATAATTTATGCGAGCAAGAGTGCTCACAAGGTGGGCTTTGCGTACCACGAGCATGAGCAATTCAAAGAAAGAAAAACAGGCATTTCAAAACACTTTCAATATATGAATTCGGAACATGAGCTTAATTTGATAGCTTCTTTGGATGGTGCCAGTAGCAGTGCGAACAATCTCATTGATCGAATAAGCATCAGTTATAATCCACATATGATTTTTTTACTGTCGCAAGCATTCGAAAGAATGCGACTCTCCATACAGTCCAGAGGTCATAATTTTTGCAAAAGATGCATTACCGAGTTTTGCGAAAAAAACGCGGACGAAGTGAACTTGATACTCAGCCCTGACTACGGAGTTCATTCGAATACGAATTCGAATAAACATTCGAATAAAACATTCGAATAAAATCTATTCGAAACTCCTTTTTTTGATTATTCGAGTTTTCGAATAATATTCGAAACCTCGTTTTTTGATTATTCGAGTTTTCGAATTTTATTCGAAACCCTGTTTTTTGATTATTCGAGTTTCGAATTTTATTCGAAACCCCGTTTTCTCAATTATTCGAGTTTCGAATATTACTCGAAAACGGAAGAACTCCGAATATCGAATTTCAAATACGAACACATATTCGAATGTTTTATTCGAATGATCGAATTTCTATTCGATTCGGACCCAAGTATACTGTGCGGGTCGCTTTCCAAATCTTCGCGGGCTTATCCCAAAATTTTGAAGACGTGCGTGGCCAGCAAGCAATTAAAGACTCCAGAGATTTCTTTTTCAACAGAACAGGCAAACCTTTGAACATTTAAAATAAAAAATTGGACACTCGCACAACTCTACAATTCAAAGGCAGTGTCCAGGCATATCGCATGGGGTTTCTGCCTAAAAATAGATGAGGGGTCTTAATAAGGTAAGACCTAAGCAGCGCAAATGATCTCACAGCTGAGGAATCCATCCCCAAACACTCGGCGCCTACGCCGTGACTGTAATTCGCGATTGACTTAGGATGGGTAGCGAACGTAGCCTAGGGTGAGAGAAGTCACCTTCGGCGGCACACGTGCAGAAAGTTAGGCAGGGATTTCTCAGCCGTAAATGAATAATTTGCGCTGCCGCTTGGATATTGCCTTATAAGACCTCCTCATCATTTTCCACGCAAAAATCCCGTGCGCCTAGATTTACCTGGACACCGCCTTCAAGCAGCTTGCAGACAAATTTCATTTTCAAGGAATAGGGGGCGTGATTTCTGCGTGACAATGCAAACAGTGATAAAAAGTTTATTTACAACAAAACACGTTTAAGACTAATGGTTAAAGGCAGCGTCCAGGCAAGATCCATCCACCCAGATTAGCACATAGTTGTAAAGAGGGGTCCATGAGTATCCGATCTGCGTTGGTCCCATCCTTTGACGTGGCCTCTAAAAGGAGATACGGCCTGTGATACGTATCACAAACCGCCACTTATCACAAACCACCCCTGAGGACAAGTGCTCACGCAATTGTGCAGTTGCATGGCAGTCGCACTGTACACGCAATGCAACTGCATCCGTGCAGTGCAGCTCTCAAGCTGATATGCGATGGGGATGAGCAATCCCAAACTCGTCCGCTTTTTAAAGAGAGGGTCCCCAAGAATCGGGATTTTTGGGGGTTCTGAACGATTTGGACTTCACGATTGTGATTAGAGCCACATAAAGGCCCCAGAATGGCAGAAACATGAGAAGCGAAATTTTGCCCGGACGCTGCCTTTAATTACAGCAGAAATAAACGACGGGTGGGGGAACGAAAGCCGCCAGGTCCAGCCGCCTCCGCGGACTGCTGGTCCTGGAACGACATGCAACAACGCTGCGAAAGGACCAGCTGGCCGCGAAAGGCGGCTGGACCTGGCGGCTTTCGTTCCCCCACCCATAAACGACTATTGACTCTGGCAGCAAGAGTAGGGTATTACAAGTCTGAAATTGCGAAAAATGATGCTACCTATCTGTTCAGGTTTTGCCACAACAGATAATGAGCCTAGTATAGAGAAAACTACTCATTGTGATCAATTCACGTCCTAATATGTGCGATTGCACACACTGCGCGTGCCATCCTAGCTTCTTTGATCAAACGCTTTCCATGCATCTGGAAAGACACTTGATATGGATTTTTCAAAACACACGTACGAAATCTCTAACACATCCTAGATGGAACGACCAAAGTGCGCAGTGTGTGCGATCGCACATATCAGAGTACCACAGAAACCACCGGTTCGCAACCGCTTGAGGAGGAGTTGAGATCAAAGGCAAAATCGATCGGCAAAATGGTCCTCTCCCAGATTTCGGTGGTGCTAGGTAGTAGACCTCCCAAGTACATCATAGCCCCAACATCAACCTCCAATTCATGCGCTAGGTTCAGTAAAGGAGCTTCAAAACTCCATCAGCCCCGCCCACTTCCACTGAACAGGCGTCAGTGGTGGAGTTTCAAAGCGCTTTTCGGGGGGGGGGATTGGGAGGTTGAGGCTGCGATGTACTTGAGGGTCTACTATGAAAGTGCCAGAATCTGACAGGGTTCCATTTTGCCGATCCACTGCCTTTACACAACGGACACTTGGTAACTGGTCGCGTTAGCGAAATTGTGCCTGGCCTCTCGCTGGTCACGATTAACAATGCTTTTCCATTCTTCACTCTAAGCCCAAAATTATGATTACATTTCATTTGTTATTGGCCATTGCAGTCATTTAATAAATGACATTCTCGAATTCAAAAATCCTCGTCCAGTGTCAATTCTAGTGTCAAACGCTCAACTTTCAATTGTGCTACCTCCGCGCGACCAGTTACCGATCAGCAGTTCAAATCTCGAATATGGCGACTGCGGTGCCTATGCTCACATAGTGGAAAAAACTCCAAACAATAAAAAAATTTATTTGATTAGTTTCACGTAAACATTTATTTATTTATTTATTTATTTATTCATACGCTCTACGACGTTCCTTACAAAAAGAACAAGAGGAAAAAAAATACACACACAGTAAATCGAACAACCCCAGTCAAGGTCCACCGTGCCGTTGGGTCCATACCTTTAAATTGGTTAAGAAGTATGTTTGATAGAGCTTGCATGTGACTGCTCTGGACTACAATTGTCATAAAGATGTGATCATGGAGATGGTGCCCATGCCCCCATTACTGCCAGCAAAACGTCCCTGAGATAAACTATCTAACTCAGGATTGCATGGTGGATATACTCCCACCGCATGAGGCTAAAAGGAAGAGTCAGTTACTCGAGAATACTTGATTAATAAGAAGTGTTGTAATGGAACATTGTAATCGAGAAGATAATAGGTTGTTGCAAGTTGTGGAGGTGGTGATCCTTCATACTCGTACGCTAGCAAAGTGCTCTCGAAATACTAAATTAAGCAAAGCGGGCTTGGTCAGTAGAGTAGCAGAAAAACCTTGCCCAAAAGAATTCCGGGGAGAGACCAATGCTCCGAGAGAAAATCAACAAAATTCCGCGTTAATAACTCAACTAGAGCAAGTCAGCAAGCATTAAAGGTTGGGAAAAGGAAGATTGTTGTTCAGGCCTGCACTAACATGGTGGCTTTATATGGGTTATAAGGCCTTGGCCATACCCTGCCGGTGTTGTCGACACCGCCAGTGCCACCCACGTCACCGGCGCCGCCGACGTCACCAGTGCCACCCGCGCCACCCATGCCCCCAGCGCCACCGCCTTTGAGCGGTAACACTGGGAACATGAGCAACACGAGCAACACCAGCAACATCGGCAACACCGGCAACACGAGCAACACCGGCAACATAGGCAACACCAGCAACATGAGCAACACCACCGGCAACGGCAACATGAGCAACACCGGCAACATGGCAACACCGGCAACACGAGAAACAAAGGCAACATCAGCAACATCGGCAACAAGAGAACACAGGCAACATGGGCAACACAGGCAAAGTATGGCCAAAGCCTAAGAAATGCAGAAAGAAATAGTATAATATCTCCTGCGTGACGAAGGCGGTTGCCCAAATAGGTTGAAGCGTGTCGCGCACGCGGCGCGCGGGCAATTGTCAGCCTTGGAGCGCGCGCAGGCTCGGTCAGCGGTCATCCACGAAGCGCGCGTCGCACGACAGCCAGCCGGCCACGTTATTGTTGCTAACTTTTGCTGTTATTGTGGACTGCGATGACTCTACTCGTCCAGTGAGGTGAGTTTTCACTTCAATTTTTCTTATTATGTGACGTTTTGATACTAGATTTGTGTGCTGACTATTTTCTATGGCTTTGTGTGCTGCATGCTTGTGCTATGTGTCTGCATTCCGTTGTTTGTGTGCTCTCCTTGTTCTTCATTGCTCTCCCTGCTTTTCGTTTCTTTTTTCAATCTCCTTTGTAAACTTTCTGTTTGTTGTGAATGTTTTTTCTGCATTGCTGTGTGAATGCTCGTGAGCAGAGGCAGATTTGTTTTTCCACAGCCCTGTCTCTTGACCCCTGCATGCTTTCAGTCTTCACCAGTGCTTGTAAGAGCTGTGCATCTTCGTTTTTGCTTCTTTGTGAGAAGGCAAAACCCTAGATAGCGTGGCTATCAAGCATTTTTGTTTTGAATGCATGCTGCAAAAGAAGACAGTGTATTTTCAGTGCAGTATATGATGTTTTCTGAAGGTAAGTCTTCTTCATAGCCTTTTACTGATTTTTCTTCTTGCTTTCATTGATCCATTGCTTTCCGTATGATACTTACGCATGTCACTGACCTGCACAGCGGCATGAAACATGCTTATGCTAGTGCAGCATCTCGTGTAGGTATTCCTCATTTCCTTTCATTTTCTTCTGCGCATTGTTTCTTGTGCCTGCATGAACCATTAGCAAAAAAGACATTCTTTTTCGCACCTTTCTTCGCAGTTCTTCACGAACCGCTCATACCAGCCATGCATCTTTGGTTTTGCTTCTTTGTGAGAAAGTAAACCCACAAGATCTTGTGGCTAAGAAGCGGTCTACTTAGAGCAAAAAGACACGTTTAATTTCAGATGTGATAGCGAATGTCAAATACACGTAAGTTTAACAAACCCAGTCCAATTATTTTTTTGTTTCCTTCTTTGGCGATCATTCTGGTACAATTACAAACTGACACAGAGTCCGGCTATCGTGAATGGTTTTTCACTGATATCATCTTTGATCCTTCAGAACTTAGATTGTGTCAACTGTTTGTAATCGTTGTTTTCAATCTCTCCCACAATCCTTATGCGTTCACCGTTCAAGTTGGTCAGGCCTTTCTGGTTTCCCTCCTTTTATGAACGTGAAACTTTGAATGGCATGGCTAGCAAAGCGGGCTGTTGAACTTGATCTTCAAACTCCTATCTTTTGATCCTATTTAATAGTCTAATTGCTGCTCAAACGGAATAAGATTGATTGCCTTGTTCAATGAGTAACATATGGCGATTTTTGGTTGCAAAGCGTAAGATAAGTAAGCTGATAAGTGGGCTTACTCCCTAACGTCGCTTGAGGCTCCCACTTACTCTACAGGCGACCGGTGTAGTGGGGTCAATAAAGCGAACTTATCTTAACTTGAAAGGCGCTGGTCACTAACTCTTGAATAGGAGCTTTGCACCTATCTAAGAGTTAGTGACCACTGTGTGTGAGTTACCAAGCGCTTAAGTCAAGCTTCACTTCTTGAGCTGCTCGTTGCCTTGGGCTATAAGTGAGCAAAATTTTGATTTGCAGTGTTTTGAGCATTAGTGTTTGGCCGAAATCGTCTCCATCATGGCTTCAACGACTTCTAACTTTGTGAGTTTCAATAATAAGCATTGATAGACGTAAACATTAGTTTATCTAGTCTTCCATCGCTCGCCGTCTGCTCTTGAGCAGAGAGAACTTAAGGGATGATACTCCCACAGTAAGTTAAATCTCTATAAGATAACAAATGAACATGTTGAACGCTTTGCTAGCCATGCCATTCAAAGTTTCACGTTCATAAAAGGAGGGAAACCAGAAAGGCCTGACCAACTTGAACGGTGAACGCATAAGGATTGTGGGAGAGATTGAAAACAACGATTACAAACAGTTGACACAATTTAAGTTCTGAAGGATCAAAGATGGTATCAGTGAAAAACCATTCACGATAGCCGGACTCTGTGTCAGTTTGTAATTGTACCAGAATGATCGCCAAAGAAGGAAACAAAAAAATAATTGGACTGGGTTTGTTAAACTTACGTGTATTTGACATTCGCTATCACATCTGAAATTAAACGTGTCTTTTTGCTCTAAGTAGACCGCTTCTTAGCCACAAGATCTTGTGGGTTTACTTTCTCACAAAGAAGCAAAACCAAAGATGCATGGCTGGTATGAGCGGTTCGTGAAGAACTGCGAAGAAAGGTGCGAAAAAGAATGTCTTTTTTGCTAATGGTTCATGCAGGCACAAGAAACAATGCGCAGAAGAAAATGAAAGGAAATGAGGAATACCTACACGAGATGCTGCACTAGCATAAGCATGTTTCATGCCGCTGTGCAGGTCAGTGACATGCGTAAGTATCATACGGAAAGCAATGGATCAATGAAAGCAAGAAGAAAAATCAGTAAAAGGCTATGAAGAAGACTTACCTTCAGAAAACATCATATACTGCACTGAAAATACACTGTCTTCTTTTGCAGCATGCATTCAAAACAAAAATGCTTGATAGCCACGCTATCTAGGGTTTTGCCTTCTCACAAAGAAGCAAAAACGAAGATGCACAGCTCTTACAAGCACTGGTGAAGACTGAAAGCATGCAGGGGTCAAGAGACAGGGCTGTGGAAAAACAAATCTGCCTCTGCTCACGAGCATTCACACAGCAATGCAGAAAAAACATTCACAACAAACAGAAAGTTTACAAAGGAGATTGAAAAAAGAAACGAAAAGCAGGGAGAGCAATGAAGAACAAGGAGAGCACACAAACAACGGAATGCAGACACATAGCACAAGCATGCAGCACACAAAGCCATGGAAAATAGTCAGCACACAAATCTAGTATCAAAACGTCACATAATAAGAAAAATTGAAGTGAAAACTCACCTCACTGGACGAGTAGAGTCATCGCAGTCCACAATAACAGTAACAGCAAAAGTTAGCAACAATAACGTGGCCGGCTGGCTGTCGTGCGACGCGCGCTCCGTGGATGACCGCTGACCGAGCCTGCGCGCGCTCCAAGGCTGACAATTGCCCGCGCGCCGCGTGCGCGACACGCTTCAACCTATTTGGGCAACCGCCTTCGTCACGCAGGAGATATTATGTAGAAAGACGAATCTCAGTGGCCGTGTTCGCTCGAATATGGCAAAACAGATGTCGGACTACATCGCACGTATGAGAATGTTGATGTTGATGCTGATACAGTTGATGCCGCATAAGGAAATAGAGTTGCAGTCGCAGTCCAGACGGTAGATGGAGCATAAAATATCAGCCATAATTCATACAGCAGAAAATAGTCACCAGACAAGAAAGCGCTCATGAGCCAGATCTGAAAAAGAAACATTAGAACGAACTCAAAACAGAGAAAAGACAGAGGTTATAAAAAAAGGCTATACAAAAAAACCACATCGTAGACTTCTTAGTTCAGACAGGCTATGGCTATGGCTTCTACCTGAATCAAATACATACAAAAGAAAACGAAAACATCAGCACAAGTACGAATCACTCTCAACAGATTTGGGAATTTCTGACTTTTCTAGAGCTTTCTTGAAAGCCCGAATAGTATTAGCCGACTGCAACTTAGCGGGCAGTCGTCTAAACCAGCGAGCACATCGATAGAATAAAAAATTGAAAAGGCCAGAATAGCAGTGTTTATCCAGTCTAGGGTAGTGAAGATTGAAGCCTCCTACCCTGCAACTTACAGGTCTGAAGACCCAAAAGCTGCTGGCAGGAAGGTCAATCTCTTTCCGCAGTATCGCAAAACAAAAAACTAAGTCAGCAATAATTCTTCTACGTTCCAGTGATTGCAAACCAAAGAGTCTCAAGCGCTCATTGTAATCTGGTTTGGACCTATCTTGCATATTATGAGACATGCGAAAAAAGACCATCCGTGTAAAAACATGTTGAACTCTTTCAATCTTAACGATATCTTTCTTTGTGGAGGGGTTCCATACTTGAGAACAATATTCAAGATGTGGTAGCACATAAGCCTTATATAGTCTGGTCAAAACAACTGGATTAGAGGAGTGAATAACACGAAAGATTGAAAAAAGAATAGAATATGCTTTTTTGACAGCAGAATCAATATGTTTGGAAAAATTTAATTGAGGATCAACAAAGACACCTAAGTCTTTGACCAGTGGGCAAGCTACCAAATCTATTCCATTGATTTCATATTTGTCTGGATTAATTTTGCCCAGATGCAAAAATGAGCATTTGTTCGGATTGACAGAAAGGCCGTTAGAAGAAGCCCACGTATTTAGTTTATTTAGGGCTTGTTGCATCGATGTATGCACATCAAGGAAATCATATTCATTGTAAGATGCATACAGTTTGATATCGTCCGCATAGATCTGGACATCAACTCCGTTCAAGTCAATTAGAGCGGGTAGTTCAAAGGTGAAAATCAAAAAGAGAAGCGGAGAAAGCACACCTCCTTGAGGAACTCCACTAGTGCAACGGTACTCATTGGAAAACGACTGTCCAACTTTGATGGTCATATATCGGTCTTGAAGGTAAGAGCGAAACCAGTTAAAAAAAAACGAAACCGAAACCGAAACCAGTCTCTCATAGTATTCGAACCTAGTAAAATT